ACATGGTTCATAAACATATATTTGAGTATCTCCAGGCAAATGCAACTATTTGCCCCCAAAAACATGGCTTTCGTCCTATCTAGTCAACTTCTACCCAGATACTAGAATTTACCCACGAGAGTGCTTTTGTCTTGGATAAGAGAGGAAACTAGATGTCATCTTTATTGACCAATTAAAAGCTTTCAATAAAGTGCCGAAACCTAAGCTTCTTCAAAAACTGCAAATTATACTTAAAAAGCATCGCTAATTGATTGAATCGCTGATTGCCGAAAAGATAGATCTCAGTCTGTCTCATATGGGAATTATCATTATAGCAGCGTCTCGGTTCGTTCCGGCGTCCCGCAGGGTCTGGTTTTAGGACAGATTTTGCTTTTTCTGTATACTAATGACGTCGTTGACCATAGTCCTGCTAAGATTCACCATTACGCTGATAATTGAGTTTTATGCAATAAAATCAGTTCCGTAAAATATCGCATTGCAAAATCGGTCATTTGTACCATTTCCTTAATTGGAGCCAGAAATGGCAGAGGGAAATTGACTGCAAAGGAATCTTATTCATGACCTTCGCTAATGAGAAGACACCGTCTGTTTTTGGTTATTGTACCGGTACTACAATTCTGTGCCAGGTGTGTGAATATAAAAATTTGGGAATTTTATTTGCTTCAAGTCTTAAATGGAACAAGCACATTAATCCTATCTACTGTCGCACTTTGCGAATACTGGGTTATGTTAAGATAACTTAAAAATCTTCAGCTGGGGAAGTTAAAATAGCTGCGTACAATACCCAAATTAGACCGATTTTAAAATATGGCTGCGTGGTCTGCAACCCGTATATAAAGGGAGATATTAAGCTGCTTGACGCAATGTAAGCTAAGGCAACCATATTTTCTTTTTAATTGATCTGATCGTACATTTTCTCCTACATCGTCAATGCCAGGAACTGGACTTGAAGCCTTAGGTAGAATACGTGTTGTGGAACGACTAAAGCTGCTACACGAAATAATAAATAAACACAATTTATTCGTGGAAAGTATATTGATTTCATTACTCAATCACGCCCTCGTGGCTTCCATTATCTAAATATTGTACCGCATACATCTTACCTCAAGAGTTTTAAATATTCCATTCTTCGGAGGACCGTCGATACATGTAACAGCATTCATAAAGTTATTCGTTCTATTGAATGTGAGAAATTTATATTAGAAATGCACCAGGTTATTATTGGTATGTTTTGTTTGTTAACCTACTTTTAACCATTGATAATGCCTTTCTATAGGGCGTGTATTTCATATACATATATATATATATATTTCTTGTGCGTTGAATTTGAATCCAATGTATGTATTATATTCCACTCCTGCAATAACCTTCTTCAAAGTCGCCATATTTTGAAATAAACTAATAATAAAAAAATAGTTTCCGAATAGAGCAGCCTCGAATAATACATTTTCGTCACTGTGAATGCAGAATGATCGCTATTGCTTTGCTAACTCCATGATTACACAGCTGCAAGTTCCGATTCTTCTGACGATCAGGACTGATGTCGTAGGCTGCAAGCGGCGGCTTACGTAGATACTGTTTATGATGTGAATAAAATGGTTTTAAAGGGACACTGAATGGTTTTAAAGGGACACTGCTCGCAAAGGTTTTTATTTGTACATGACATATGAGAGCCCAAACGCTTAGAACACAATTTGCGGCTCGAAATTTTCTTTCTTTCCGCCCGAAAACCGCCGAATGAGAACTGGCCGGTTTGAGCCGTGCTCACTTTCTTCTCCATGGACAGAAGCCGTTTTCTATGGTTTAGACATAACGCCCAAATATAATCATAGTCGTGGGTCATCGAAGGCACACAATCAATATTAAAAATAGAAAAGAAATACGATACTCATATTTTGTGGCATCTAAAAAACCGCAAATACGGTGACTCAAGAAAACAAAGAGTTGCACAGCCACGTGACTTCTGCGAACTCTCTCCTACTCTATATTTCTTCTTCCTCTCAGTTTCGCTTTCCGTTTCCAACTGTTACGTTTGGGTAGTCTTCTGATACCATATAAATCGCCTGGCAAAAAAAATAAAAAAAATTTTAGGGGGTGTAAGTGTCCCTTTAAGCAGATAATTATCAATCGTTTCTTTTTATTTGGGAAGTCGAATTATTTTAGGAGCTCGAAAGGAGCTAGAATACCTTCAGTAGTATAAAGGAAAGTATACAGAAGTAACTGAAATAAAAAATAGAGGTAATAGGGAAGACTCTCAACAGCAGTGTAAACCTTGAATTGAACGGAGAAGTATTGAAGCTCAACGTCCTTAATGGCACCGTCACAAAGAGGTCAAATTCCCCATTCTCAGAAAAAAGACACTTTAAAATTTATTAGATGTAAAATTTTGTCATTCGGAGCATTTTTCATGTAACGTTGGGAAGAGGGTATAATAAACTATAGTTTTTGCTAAGAACGTAGCAGAATTTCACATCAAAAACACAAGATTAAGGACAAATTACATATCTGCCAAACTTTTATAAACAAATTTTTCTTCGAAAGTGCCAATCGGGTTATGTTTACGAATCACATCATTCAAATACGACAGCGACAAAGATGGTGCTTTATATACACACACATATATATATATATATATTTGACTGGAGTTTTATGGCATAAGTGTATTCAAGTTTTCTTATTTTACTTTTTGTGCTTGCTGGTGTGGCGGTTTTACATACACTAGATAACAACAAAAGCAAGTCAGACCCCATATAGTCTCTTAAGTTTCTGATGATGGGTGCTTAAGGGAGATGACTCGGGCCAAAACAAAGTTTACAGATAATATTTAAAAAAAAATGTTTTGTTTTTGGCGCGAGCAGCCTACGTTCGTGCGGTCCCACGTTGCCTATTTTATGTTGTCTCTTCGCCTGCGTTACAGCTTGCGTTCCCGCCGGTTGGTGGATGTTAGTGACGGTGATTGACTGCCAGTATATGGCTCGAATCCCCTCATGGTCTACGAAGCAGTTTGGCGCCATGTGGCATGGCTGAAGATGGTAGCTTCCCTCCGACAATAATCAGAACCTCCGACATTAATCTAAGGGTTCGTGAACCCTTAGATTAAGCTACCATCTATAGTCGAAGTTGCAGCCATAGGGCTGCAACTTCGACGCCAGCCTCCCAAGTATCCGTAACATCATCGACGACGTTGTCCTGGAGGGGCTCGGGAAGCTACTTCCCCCCGCCAGTCTCCCAGATTCCATTTTGATTGCCGAGGTTCTTCGGTAAGAAGTTCAACGGGAATTTGAACCGGAGACTTCTTCGAGCAAAGCGGCATCTGATGAACCGGAGCGACCAACGCCGCAATGGCACGACGACCGCCCCCGGCTGCTCGTTAGTGTCCGACGCCAACTCGGCGTGACACATCAACGCCTGTATTCCCGACGTCATAAGGAACCGCTGCAGGTCCGCGCTGAACAGGGTGTACCGAGGAAGACGGACGTGTGGCGAACGGCCGCCGGACGACCACCTTGCTAGCACCTGGTGAGGCCGACCGCGTCTACCGGAGGTTCACGTACCGACAAATGAACCTGCGACGGTTGGCGCCGAATGACCCTCATCACGTCTCGGGGTGCGGCCACTGGACATTGCGGAGTATCGTCGGCAGTCCCCGGTGCAGACACTAGAGAGTTTTAGCAGATCGTTTTTTCGCCCCCATAACAACACCCGATAACGATACAATGCATGACCGAGGCCGCCGGAGCGGAGAGGAGGTATCGCTTTCGGGGCGAAAAAACGATCTGCTAAAACTCTTATTACTCTGAAGCTCCGGATCCCCATTACCTCGACGAGCGCTTTAGACCGTCTTACTTTCTCGCCGAGACAGGCTGTCGCCTCTGTCTTGCCCGGAAAACTAAGTGCGGCAACGCCTGGAGGTGGCGTTGCCAAAAGCGGATGAAGTAAAAAGCCTCTAAGAACGCTGGAGAGCTCATATTCTAACGACGGCGCATCTGCGAAAATTAAAAAAAATAATAAATAAATAAAAAAAGATGTCAATCTGCTTGCATCTATTGAGCCTAAGGCTGTAAGATATGTTTTAATTAAGCATGACCACAATTTCTCTCCTTCATCAGCTTTGTCATCTCTAGGGCTTGAACCACTGTGTTGGAGGCGAAAGATAGATTGTCTCAAACTTTTCCACAGAATTGTCAAAGAAGACTGCGTCATCGAACGAACTAAATACATTTCATTTTCGACGACTACGCGTACCAGATGATCTCATCTATAAAATGTTCCTTTTCAGTGTCATATAATTTATTTTAAATAACATCTTTCCCGAAAACTATTGATGATTAGAACAAAATTGACGGACAAATAGGTACTCTCTGGAGTGTTGATTTTATTACCGCAATTAACAATCTTCTTCCACTTAATGTATGTCTTTTTCAATTAATCATTTTCAAGGGCATTTTGATTTTCTATGTTGTTTTGTTCGTGTATCTGTATTTCCCATTCCTGCAGTGACCTCACCAGATGTCGCTTTATGTATAAATACATATATAAATAAATAAATAAATATATAATAGCAATATAAGATACAAGGAAGTGCTACTAAACGGACGTCGCGAATTCGAGGCTGTTAAATTTAATGACGGTACATTCACGCAACTGATAATCAGACAATAGGTACTTTGAGCAAACCGTTGCCGTATTCTGCGTACCACACAGCCGGACCCTTTGATGCATGTTTTAAGCATGTGCCCGGGTGATGCCGTGGCCGCGGGGCGCGCACGTAATAGAATATTTGAAAGGCTCTGGTAGTGCGGTACGCGGAACACGGTAACGGTTTTCTAAAAGTCCCCAACATCGGCTTTCTTCATTTTTGTTTGCTTCTCCTTTCAATGCTCAAAGCAAAAAAAAGCAAATTGGGTTCATGCCCCGATATATTATACTACTCATTAGGAGAAAAAGTACTAAGGCTTCTAATTAGTAATATATCGAATTCACACATAACTCTCGCATCGTAACCGTAAACAATGTTTTATTAGTGAATAAATGTGCGTTACTTATAACATTTAAGATACTTTTTATACGCATTGCACTAACATGATTCCAGTAAGTGATCCTCCTTTTGTACGAGTGGGTTTTCTCTGTCCACTAGAACAACATAATTATAGAGAGGCTCGCAGATTCCACAGTAGCAATATCCAATCTTAAAGATATCAAGATGGTCATGTCGACGATACTGCCACTGGAAGAAAGAATACCAATCCAAAATCAACGGTCGTATCAAACAAAGCAAACATCTAACACACATGCTAACACAAAGTAATAATATAATTAAAGCAAGCATTTGACGTAAATAAGCAAATTGGGTTAAAAGAACGGACAAACACATGAGCTGCGATTTTGTAAATCAAATTCGTAAACAAAGAGGGGTGCCAAAATTTTGAGAACCGAATACTTGAGAATATGACTTGGAGCCAGCGGTAAAATACGATAAGCGAGTGTAAGACACAAGGTGTTTGCAAAAATAGCATGAGCAATATTTAAGAAGTATGCACCTGGCACTAAAGCCGCGATAACAAAGGCGCTCGTTCGGTGCCACATGCTGTATTTTTCGGTGTATAAATCCGATTATTTTTGCCTTAAATTTCGATCGGTCCATGTTAGTTAAGAGCGCAACTCATTTGAGTTTTTTTTTTCGTATAAAGTAAGTACAGACTATATCTATGGTACCTAGAACGCGTCTCTGACCAGAGTGTTCACCTTGTTTTAAAAAGGCGTTCAACGATCTTCGCCTGATGACGTCATAGAACTATCATGTTTTCGCTGGCCGCAATCCTGGCGGAGTCACAGCAGCGGTGGTGGATGTTTTAGAGGTCTGTTTTGCTACGGTCGCTCTCCAAGCTGACAGTTCACGGAAGCTTCGGCAGCCAGGAGTTTGGACACCTCGACGACAGCAACACTCGCGTTTGCTCATGATTTTTGCCGAAACTTCTACGACCAACTTCCACGATCGCGACATCCAACAACATGAACTGTGTGCCTGTGTTCGTCCCTTATGTCTTTTATTCTTTCTGTGTTTTCAGCATGACGCTCCGGCTTTTTTTCTGTCATTTGTTGCCACTTACGGACTCCTCTCGTTGCATGGGCGCAATGAGGCAAAATAACACCAGCCAGAGGCGCGCTCCAGGCACCGTACTATGACAGTACAATTTTTCATGGGCGGTTATATTTCTCGGTTTTTATAAGAAAGTTTGTTATTCGATATAAATTTCTCTTACAATACTAATATTTGGGCTTAAATTGGTTTCTGATTTAGTGAAATTAAGGGTACGAGTAGTTTTTCCGAAACAGTGGCACGAAGGAAAGTCTATACCGTAATATCCCGAAAAATAGCCCATCTAAAGTCCAAGGCACATCGGCTAAAAATAAGGGGTTGGCTAACCGTCAGTGTGAGATCAAAGAAAGTTGGAAAAAAAATTTAGAGATTGTGTGACTTTCCCAGTTAGTAATGTTCGCTTATCTACCGCCATCATTAAGTAACACCATTTCTATCAAGGTCACCATTGGCCAAGGTCCTGCAATTACTATGAATTAGCTATACTTCGGTGTTTTTGAAAGCACAATAGCAAATTGTGCCATAAATAGGGGTGGATTGTCTTTCGGGGGTGGGGCATCTCTCAGGAAATTACGGTATAGAAAGTAATAGTAGATAATGGAATAATAGTTGACAACCATATATTTCTGCATAGAGGATAGTCGTAGGCGTAACCTTTTTTAAGCTCTCGGAAAAAGTAAGCCTATACTATTTTCGTCGACACTGTCATTGTAGATACCGCACTGCAATCCATACTCGTATGTAAAACACACTTTGCAGAAACAATACCAAACTACGAAATCGTTCTAAAATATATGATATAGAGTGAAGAAATTCGTCTGTGCAGGGCAAGATATATTATTACATCATAGTTATTGAAAGAGTGGAAACGGCAAGGCGCGCCTCGAACCCGCAGCCTCCAGTACGTGCTTAACGCCTTCCGTCGTGCTTGGCTGCGCGCGCGCTCAGGATGCACCAGATGCCGAAGAGTTGTCGAATGTGGGAAGCTCGTGCTGGAGGTGGCAGAGCTGAACAACTTCCCTCGCGCTCTCACCTTGTAAATGTCTTTATTTCACGTTAGGAGTTCCAAGTTTATTCATCACAAACCACGTTACAAAAATCGTGGTGAATGCGTCCGTCAAACTCTTCCAGTGGGTGTGCATTCTTCAGGGGAGTGCGCTCGCGCGGCAAATGGGACTTTTATTAAGTGAGACCAATTGTTTCAGAATCGTGTCTGGAATAGTTTATTTGCATGTGAACCTAGTATACTTACGAGGCAAAGAGTATCCCTTGCTCGGCGCTCAGTAGTGCCGTCGCCACATTCCGCTTGGCAGTGTGTCGCTACTTTCAGCTGAAAGTCATATGTTGGTTCAAGGATGAGTAAGAATAAGCCAAAATAGCATACACTTTACTATAGGTAAAAGTCTCATAAATTTGAAGACTGCTGATATTTTGTTGACTTGTTATTCATTATTATGACCACAAAACCAATTAGATGTAATAAACGAAAGTGTGCAGGTGTGGTGGTAAGGAAACATCATAATCTCAACTCTGAGACATGGAGGAAATAAAATACACAAGACGTCTTGTTGGGGATTTTATTTCCTCCATGTCTCAGGGTTTATATTATGAAATTAAATGTGACTATATTGAGAATATATACTTACGCGTGAACAAAAAACTCAACGGTTTTAAGATCTGGGCTAAAGCAAAAACGCTATAATTACGTAATCACCTAAATATTAGCTATTCCAGCGTAGTTTTGTATGCCTAATGTATGCAAAGCTGTGCTGGTGTAAACAAGCGCCCTGATTTGTAAAAATATATTTATTTCCTGTTTATGAGACCTTTGGAGCAAGGCTGTACTGCTTCAATTACATTTTGTTTAGTGTCGCATGAAACGGTCACCAGTTTGCATTAGTACATTAAAATTAAGTTTAAGTCATTACTTCACTTTGTTTTCTATTTCGTACATCATATTTGAACACCTCAGATTGAAACCCAAACAAAATAAATAGTTACGTAATAAACAGAAGCCTAAAAGAGTAATTTGTTACGTTTTGATTGATGAAAACATCCGTTCCGTTGCATCCTTTGGTTGTGTTGTGAGGGGGAACTATGTATTTAGCTGAAAGGTAAGAACTAAAATTAAAACATGAAATTTTAAAAACATTTTAGGGTAATGTTTGTTGTTCTAAATATTTTATCATGCACGAAACTCAGAAATCACAACACGGTCTGGAAGAAATTTAAAGGCCAGTTCAGACATTTGTGTTGTGTGCGTTTCCCAGGACTGCAACCCCTCAGAAATTGCTAGAGCAGCTTCTCTCGGCAAATTCGTTTGCATGCCACCAATCACTGATCTAGCGAAGGAGGAATTTATTAACTGTTAGGAAAGAGGACGACATAGCGCCAGCGGCGCGCTCAAGGTCCGGCTGCTGAGCGCCCGTTCGATTCGATTCGGACTGACTTCGCCTGGCTGCCCTGCGGCACTGATCATCATGTACAATCCCCCAATCATCTCATTCAACCTGCACATATTCGCCTCACAGGTTGGTGGACGTTACTTTGTATTTCTCTTTCATGGACCTCCGAAGTAATCACTGGCCAATTCTTGTCGCCAGTGACGACAAGCCCAAAACCGCATTCATTACTTGCACTAGCGCCACGTCGTCTTCTTTCCTAACAATATATATACGTATTGCAACATCGCAAAAATCAATTGTTGTTTTATTTATATTTCTTGGCGCCGAAAGGTGGTGATCAAAACTTCTCAGGTGGTGGAATAGGCTGATGTGGAGGACCCACATAGGCGATAAATTTCTTGCACTATAGAAACCTATACGAGCAGCATGCGAAAAAAAATTAGACGTTTACAAATTTCTGTAACGCGAAATTAGAGCACAGCTCTTGAGGAGGAGGAGAGGTGGGTACGGAGAGGAAGGTATGCCCTACCCCTGCTCCGTACCCTTTCCTCCTACCCTCCTCGTCCCCTCCTCCTCTCTCCTTTTCTTCTCCTCTTGCTCTCCCCTCATCCTCCTCTCCTTCTCATCCTCTCTTCTCTTCCTTTCTTCTCTTTTCTTCCTCCTCTCCTCATACTCTTTTCCTCCTCCTCCTCCATTCCCTATCCTCCTCTGCCTCCATACCTTCCCCTCCTTCCCAAAGTTTCCCCACTAAATTCAGCTGAAATATTGACGCGACTTGATTTCAACAACAATTTAGTTCCCCTGCTAAATTTAGCGGGGAAAGTGACGTCACAAGACTTGGAGCCACGACGCCTATGAACTAATTCAGTTTATTCGCTAAATGTAGCGGGAAAATTGAAGTCACGTGACCTCAACAGCAATTCAATTCCCCGCTAAATCTAGCGGGGAATTCAATTTCTGTTGAGGTCACGTGAAGTGAATTCCCCGCTAATTTTCGCGGGGAATTCAAATGGTGTTGAGGTCACCTGACGTCAATTGTTCCGCTAAATTTAGAGCGGTTACGCCGACGCCGACGCCAACGCCGACGCCGCGAAACACGGAAACGGGCGCCTAAGAGCTGCTCTCTAAAGGGGTGTCCAAACAGGACACTACAAAACGCACGACTCCGACAAATAGTGAATATTGAAGCGGACGCGCCCGCTTCAAGCCTGCTTCAATTTTCACGATTTGTCGGAGTCGTGCGTTTTGTAGTGCCCTGTTTGGACACCCCTTAAGAAGTTATGTGATGCAGTATTTACGCTAACCATGTCGAGCAGTGTGCGTCTTTTAATCAGTGACCGATTAGGGGAGGGCAGCGTAGGCTTTGCGATTCTCTATTTTGTTGTCAGTAAGCATAAATAGCACGTGGCTATTACAGCAATCACTGCTTTGTGACTGTGTATAATTTGACTAAACAATGACAACCTACCTGCCTGAACCTGCCTGAAGTCTAACCACGAATCCTCGGGTATTTTTAGAGGTTCTCTGAAGATCCTTTTTTGGCCGCATAAATGGGCGAATCTTTTTTAGTGCAGTCATATTTTATCACCTAAATTTCCCAAACGGTTCTTGTTGATCGTATAATTGTATGTGACGTTACTCCTTGATTTTTTTATTTATTGTTATTGCGCACTTTTTAAATAATTCTAAGCTATCAGTTTGATATAAGCGAGGCATAAATCAAGGCGGTAAAGCTATACTACTTCTATTTGGTTTCCAATATTAACCTATATACAAAATTGGTAAGAAAATTTTGTGAGTGTACTGCGTTCTCTAAATCATTTGATAATACTTTAAAGGTCGATACATGTAAAAAGAGCTATTATACAAACCCTGATGTAGTTGATCGCATTACTTGCACATCTCTAACCTCTATTATTTTCTAGGAAGACTAAGTTCTTTGTTAATCATATTTCTTACGTTAAAGCTACTGTTTTGATTTTGAAATAGCTGCACTGGTCATAGATTTGAGTACTTGACGTCCAGGTACGATATGCCATCTACATAACATATAAAAATTATAGCATCGTATGGATGGCAGTTCTGCGCAGTTGGGTGAAAAGAGGGAGGAAGTTTTGAAATGGCATCAGGGTTACAAATATTTAATAAATCCAAGTCTTATTCGTAACTGAATAACTTTCTTTTTGCGTGAAAATAATTAGCATCACAGGAAAAAGTATACGGTAATATGTCTACATAAACTTATGTTAATACTTGCCTAGTTTAACACATTTCCCAGCGCAGCAGTTACCAATTTCATCCACAAGCGTGGTAGGTTTTGTGCCAAAGAGAGACCAGAACGTGAATCCTGGAGTTGAAGTCCGTAACTATAAAGGAAATTATAGCCCTTTAGAGTTTAACTCGATAGTATTGCGTTTTGTCACTATCATCAAATTGTCAGTGATCCATAAGATTGATTTGGACGTATGTCTCATGTTTATGTTACGGGACACAATACAAAATATTCTTAAGCAAATCGAACAACACTGGCGGCCGTCGTATTTTGGGCATGCATTCCTGCGTGAAGCGTGTCGTTAGATCCGACTTCATGCCAAGTGCTGAATCGTCGCTCTTTATCTATACATTGGGTTCCAGGTACTCGCCGAACGCTGACACAGCACTTGTGTGTAATTCATGCTCGAAGTGCGTGTCCTAAATATGGCAGTCTCGGATAAATAATCAACGCAGCAGCTATTGAAGGGCGCGCACTTTGGAGGTGGCACTGTTCTATAGTTGGTGACAGGTTAAGAGTTTAGGGAAGGCTCCTCTTACCTCTTTCTACTTTAGCAGAACGAACGCTGGAGAGGAGGCGGCCTTCCCCTCCAGCGTTCGCTGCGCTCAAGTGGATGGGGGTGGGAATATCTTTATTTTAACTCTTAACCTGTCATATACTATAGTAGTCAAAATACAAGTCAGGAAAGTATTTATTCAAGACTTCATGAAAAGTATATATGTTCTTTTTTAGCTCTTACTGAAGCAGCTACATTTCTATTTTCATGCGCAATCGGTTTTAGGAAATATTGCGCGAACACTTTATTGTTTGCGTTTGAAACGTGCTCTGCTCGATCCACGAAGCAATCTTCATGGTTGTTAAGAGGTCTGAAAAATAAAACAAACAAAACTGGCAACCAAAGTAATTGTTGTCTTTAATTTGGTGGATGAACTCACCTGGCGGGCCCTAATGTTGTCAACATTGTAAAATATAGTTTACCATGTTTTTTTCGCTAACAATTACAATGCACGTTAAGAAATTGTGTTCAAGAGTTCAACATAAAAATGCCACCTGTTTCAATTTTTGATTGCTCATGTGACGCGACACAAAAGGTGCATGAGCCCACTATTGATTTGCGTTTTACTGCCAGCAGATTGCGTGCTTTAACATATGATTCGTACTCCTGCGGAAAATATAGAGTAAAACACCCGGTACGGGCTTTTTCTGTCTGGTCTCTACAGGCTCTATCTCTCAACTTGCCAAATAGTCCAAAGTATGGGGCCTTAACTTCACATTCCATTCCTAGATTGGACCACGGTTTCTCCAAAAAGGGGCAGGCACGGCAAAGAAGCACGAAGGATTGTTCCCGCTCATATTGTCAGTGATAGCGCATATACTTATAAATTCAACATTCCAAGTGTTTACACTCTGGTTACACTTCAGAGACTCTAGCTGCATCAGGTTTGACTTAACGACCATGTTAGATATGGTAGCGTTGCTAGCATAGCTGCTAAGTTACACACTTCGTAAAGAAGCGAATTTAAAACTACTGTCATTTAATAAAGAAAGAAAACGAAAAGCAGTTAAAGGCAATTCTCTTTATTTTCCGGTGGAAAAGTTTCAAAGCAATCGCGGCCAGAACGAAGCCCCGCAAACATACCATTCACTTCTGTGTAAAATCATTTTTTAACTGCGAACATAGCAAACTCAATGGATGTGGATGTAGGTGCTAGCAGGAGTAGTACCTGGCTCAAAACAATTATTAACTAGCGGAGCGCCCAACGTTAGTTAGTACCCGTTCTACTACAAGATTAATGTGAACCTTTTGGTCAACGGCCTGTTTGAATTGAGTTATATGTTGTTTTTTCTCGCACGGCTGTAAATTGTCTCTAAGAATATTTAGAAGTGTCTTACATTTTTTTTTTCAATATTGCCACGTACGTGAGCGAGAATGAAACTACTCTATACTTACAGAAGATTCGCGTTTACACTTACCCCGAATGTAAAAGATAAGGAGGCCAACACGACCCTGCCGAGTGAGTCTAGCCGTAGTGCGTAAGGAGGCCAACACGGCCCTGCCGAGTTAGTCTCACCGTAGTGCGACCCTCCAACCTTCTAGGACCTTATGTTCGAGATACCAAGTGTAGTTAATAGGAAGCCCGCATCGCCTTGCCGACTCTTCCGATGACGAGACACGCAGTCCGCCCTCTCACAACTCAGCTGTCACGCCGACTCCTCGCCGCCCGCTGCTGCTGTGTTCGACCCTCGCTGCTGCGCTATCGACGCTCATTTACTGTTCTTTTTTTTTGGCACAAGTTTGCCGATTAAACCATTGTTCTCAGTTTTAGGGTGGTCGATCCGTTTCTATATGCGACAACTCGGTAAATATTCATAACATTCTGGAATTACTTACGTCTATCTGCTCACTATATATCCGGCGCGAGTAAGCCTAACATTTTACGTTGCTATCAATTTTATCAGATATTTGTTATTTTACTTCCCTTTTATTGGTTATGACATACACCTGCTGAAACTTCTTGTCTTGGGGTTTAAATTACGATGCAGTCATAAAACGGTTCTGTTCAATCAGGTGCAATTTAACTGCCGAAATTTATGCTTATTCAGCTCCTGCGTTTCACGGAGCTCATGGAGGATGCGGAGCGATGTGAACAGAGCGCAGAAATGATGAGCCATCTGAACAAAGAAAGCGAGGACGGTGACACAAAACACCGCCTGAGAAAGTGTTAAATCTTTGTATGACACAAAGGCGTGGTCTATCCGGGTAAAACGGTAGTGATCGAAATATTTGTTTGCAAAGAACCATTGTGCGGTATCGTCTTCTGTAATTGATTTTCCAAGATTGGGGATGCATAGTTATGTAAATACATAGTAAGGCTAAGAAGCCACCTGGGACCCTTATCTACACGACGTGACCAAGCGGGACCAGTGATCAGGAAATCACCGCCTATTTCGATTCGCCAGCGGCGCGGAGCTGGCCAATCGCAGCAAGTGGTGATGTCCAGGTCCCTTAGTCCCGCTTGGTCGTGCTTGGTCCCGCCGTAGAGACTAGGGCTTTTTAAGATGTTCCAATATACATTGATACTTGAGTGCCTCATGTTCGCCTATTAAAATTGTAAACTTATGATTGGAATTAACATATCTATCTGGATGATGTTCTCAACTTAACGTCATACCTTTTGTACCCCACCTTGGTGATACACGTCTTGGAACGAGGAAGTTATTAAACAAAAGGTCACCGAACCTGAGTGTTGAGTGTCCTACGCGCTGGAAGGCCGAATATTTACCTTCCAGAACTTTGGTGACACATCATATATTTTGCGCAGCGAAAAAGGCCATTGAGAGAACAGCTCCAAAAACGTGCCTATTCATAATCCACAACTTTTAATTGTACCCCCAGTAACAACGTTATTCGAACATTTATGAGTATCTGAACAATAACAATGCAGGGCAACATTCACAGTCTTTTTCTACCCGAGGTAGATACAACATCTACGATTTATAAATTTGAACAAAAGAAAGCGAGAATTCACTGCTCGTAACAAAATTGGGTTGATTCAGTGATGGGAGACTACTTTTATAAGTCAGATCAAATAAAGGGAAGCCTGGAACATTATGAAGGCTAGAAGACTGAGTGTTTTAGGTTTGTTGCATTTAGCGTTAAATGCATAGCCGTGGATTTATTTTGTGCACTTTTTTGCGAGTTGGTCTAATGAGGTTTTTTTCTAGGCTCTTACCAGGACTTTCGTATTCTTACTGTTATTAATTCTAAGAATTGGTGTCATTTGGCATGAATATTGCAGTTGCAGACACTTCACGATTTCATTGATTTGGACAAGACTTCTAGTCGGATGTTGGAAAACAATATTATGTTGATAAGATCGAGCATCGCAGCGACACCGGGCGCTGCTTTTAAGTCAGTTCCGTCGTGCGCACGTAGTAATTATCTTAGCCATACATCCATACGCGTTGGAAAACGCTACTTGTCACAACAACACATTTCCGATATTGTTAGTGTTTATCGGAGGCTGTCACTAGAAAGAAGATTAAAAAAAGATGTCTTCAAGATTCTAAGCTTATGTTGTCATGCTAGCCCTTGTATATCCCAATATATTTTTTTTTCTCGCTTCTATGGGTCGGAAGCCCTTAGTCCAAAGCATGCTATCACTGTTCCAGTTAAGCTCAACATTGGGTTTTTGAACAGTTAATTTTGGTCTTAAAGGAATGAATGAGCAAGGTTGAACGCGTTCCGCCTAAACAAAATAACCAACTATTACTCAAGAGTTTCTTATGCATATAAACATATGTTCAACTGAAGAAATCAAGAGAACAATTGTGGAGCGCTGAAAAACAGATACCATTTTAGACTCCCAAAATCTCCTTACGAAGCGGTTTTTCAATAAGCATCCATTCAAAAAAATAGACAGGCCATGTTATAATGGCATTATTGGGCTCAACAGATACTTCAGTTAGGAAAATTCTAAAAAAAAGTCTTACCGCGCACATTGTTCCGTTAGCTAGCATTTTACTTGAAGTGCCGTTGCACTTGATGGTGCAATCCTTATCGACGCTGAACTAAAAGGGAAAAAAATACAATCTGTGTTTAGAATTGTTTCAACATTGCAGAACCTGTGAAAGCAAACAAGTGATTATGTGTCCTATACTAAACTAAATATACAGCAAGGTGCTTCTAAACGTTACCGCCTTTACTTGCTTGATTTCTTTCAAAGTCATTTTTTTTAGCTCTAAGCATACTTCAAACTTCAAAAAAGATACAACACCTGATTCGTGAATATTTTCTCCCAAAACTTGGTGTTACGTGTTACGTTCAAAACAATTTTAAGCCGTGTTTCAAATAGAATACACACACTACCGATTAATACTATCGTAATTTTCGCTGACACTAAAAATGAAAATAACCATGTAGGCATACCTTATTTTTGCTCGTATTAGACCATTAATTGTTTTATCCAAATCGAATTAACTATCATGTTCGCCAATCTCGTAGAAGCAACGCCAACGGTCGTCACTCTTATGCTGAGAAACAGGAATGTTTAATTTTGCCGGCCAATAACAGCCGTGTCATGATCGAGTGATATAATTATTATGCTTAAGAGCACAGGACTTCATGATATATATTGCAGTTTCAAAGAAAGGCCCACCGGGTAACTGGCCAAGGCGGAAGAATGCTCACCGGGAAGTCGGCAAGTGTGAAAGAAAATTCAACGCGTTCCCACAGCCACACAGTCGCTTCAGCAGAAACCCCGAATGTCAGTTAGTTAAAGGATAGTCATATATAGCTCCGGTTAAATGGTGATATTTTTTCGTGCATCTCACATCGGATTGTAAGGAAACCTCAGAATTTAATACAAGCCTCAACCGCTTCCAAAAGGGCCGGAAATGGTGTCAAGTTTACCCCAAAGAAATGTATAATGCAATTCCGGAGGTGCTCTGTCATCCTTTTTGTCTTCTCTCTGGTGGTTCTCCTCGATTGATTTACACTAATCTGCACCAACGGTTTTATTTGCCGCTGCTTGATTTTGGTGCCTGCACTTGAATATCCTCCAGACGTGTTGTTGGCCAGCCCTGGCCGCAGGGGTTGTTAAATCAGGTCTGGCAACATTCGTAGCTCTTAGGGATTTTCGAACAATTATGTTTTGGTCTTGAAGGGGGACCCAAACGATTTGGGTCCCCCGAGCAGCGTGGGGCGTAACACTGCGCAAGCGTTGAAGTTATGGGCATGCGCAGTGCAACACCGCAAATTCTTTCTGGGGCCCAAAGCCGTCGGGGCCCCACATTTTTAAACTCAAAATTCTTTGTGCTGACCGCATTGTTTAAACAGACTTCAAGCATATTTCACACTGCCAATAGAAGCTCAGGTTTTCGTTAGTGCACTGCTGTCAATGTGCCCTGTATAGAATCTTCTGTAGGAGCTGGATTGACACAACCAGTACAGACAGCAGTAGGATTCGAACTGCGTTTATGCGCCCGTGCCGTGCGAGCCTTGCCTTTTCTTTATTTTCTTTATAGATCGGTCTGTACTGACCGTAAGGGTCGCTTTAGTTCGATCTGTGCACGACACTCGGATGGTTGCAAATACTTACAATTCGTTTTATCTGACTTGCTAAAGCAGAAATACGAGTTCAGGCTAGTTAATGTAGATGATTAAAGTCTGATACTAGGACCCACCGGGCATCGTCCCTGTGTGTTGTGGCTTAAGGTGAGTGGTGGTCTGTAGTTCGAGCGGCCGTACCTTGCTTTTTCGCAGACACATCTCATCACTAATCAATTGCCTCAATATTTCTTACGTCCGCGCGTACTACAATCGAGGATTTGCAAAGCGCCTGTGCCAGAAATCGTATAAATTACTATAATCGCTACACTGCTCTCCTATTCAGTTTGCTGCTTGGTGACTCTGGCGCTACTTTTATGTTGTTGGCGTGGTTTTTTCTCTCGCACTGACCAAAAACGTAGTATAAGGATCACACTCACACGTATGCAACGAAAATTATATTTAGCCTACAAACTAAATTTAATCGCAAAAAGAATTGGCTCATAATTATCAATGCGCAAAACCAAACATAATAGAAGGTTGTGTTTACAAAGACAAAATGTGTCTAGAAAAACCATCAGTGAGGAGGGTCAAACTCCGAGAGCCCCAGACGACGCCTAATGTCATACAGCGGCGGCGAAACAAGGGAGATGGCACGACGAATGCTTAGACTTGATTTTATAGTTAAGATACTTTGCTACAAACCAAAAACATAAATAAAGGCAACAACCGAGCAATGAAATCTTCGGTACTTGGGACGATACCGGACGTTATGGTTCACCTGTAGTCATCTAGCGGTTCCTATAAGTGCTAACGGAAGATGTCACCATTTCTTGGAATTTGAGTAACAGTTCAGCAGCACATACTTTTGTACTTTATGCTCCGAATGACCTTAATGACGGCAAGCTCGAGCAGCCACAGAATGCTGCTTTCTGTAGTGTATCTGTCTAGGTTCTACTTCTTAACCATGTCACTCACACTGAATTAGTGAGAAGCAGCAAGCATAATATTTCCGTGGTCCTCAGTCACCAGCTTGGAAGCAGTTTACTTTATAGGTCAAGGGAGACAGCTAGGACATATGGGATGTATTTCTTGACGTTCGATCTCGAAGTCCATGTTGAAAACTTTTAATGGCAGAGCATTTTGTTGCATCCACCAAAGTTTGAAGGGATTTTTGTTATGATCAGCTTTATTCTTGAGAGCCTGTAACGGGTATAATGTCTGTGGAGTGTCTTTCATGCTCAAACGCTGGTTTCGAATAGCAGTCTTACTTTAGTGGGTATAACAATGAATGATGTTTCGCCTATTTTATGAAACAAGAATAGGCGTAAAAAAAACGGCTGCTTGATTGGTACCGTCCTGTGTTGTGTGAAATATATTATACAAGCCACTATCATACGCGTGCAAAAGTTCGAAACGGCATTAAACTCACTCCGGGATAAACGAGCAGCTTCGTCCGTAGGCATTCCTCTGTTAGAAGGAAAAAGGAGGAAGAACATAATTTTTTTAACCCTGCATATATTTAGTATGTGTTAATAAGCAGAAGGGCAGATTTATGTTTTGTTATATTACGTGTACTCTAGGTATAAAAATATATCTGATGACGCATGCTGCTTTACAGAAGAAACTACTTTAATGTTAAAATATTTTTTCTCATAACACTTAAAGTATTTTCGCTCCAATTGGGATTACATAAAATAGTGAAGGCAAAAGAGGACAAACAAAATCTAAAAATACGCGCAAACTGGTAACTTCCATAACTTGTCCGAAAATGTAAAAAAATGAATGACTTTACAATCCCTTGTAACGCCGAATCAGAGCGCAGCTCTTGAGGAGGAGGAGGGAAGGGTACTGAGGGGAGGAGGCGGAAAGTCCCCCGCTATTAACATGGGTGCGGAGCGACGCGTGCTTAACGCAAGTCGCAGAAAATGCACATCTTTGGTGAGAGCATCGCGTGTAAATTTGGCAGAAATTTAGCGGGAAATTTTTTCCTCTAACTTTAGCGGGGAATTTTTTTCCACTAGATTTAGTGGGGAACGTTTTTCTGCTAAATTTAGCGGGGAAATTTTTCCGCTAAATATAGCGGGGAAATTTTTTTTGATAGATTTAGCGGGGACATTTTTTTTGCTAGATTTAGCGGGGAATTTTTTCCGCTAGTGACGTCACATGTGACGTCACTGATGACGTCTTCAGTGGCGGTGACGATGACAATGACGTCGTCACAATGACGTCAAGTGACGTCACTGGTGACGTCATGTGACTGATTTTTCGGCTAGTGACGTCAAGAGTGACGTCACTGATGACGTCATTCTCACTGATGATGACACACGTGACGTCACAGGTGACGTCACTGATGACATCATCAGTGACGACGACGATGACGTCATCATGATGAAGTCACATGACGTCACTGGTGCCCCATGTGACGTCACGTGGGACGTCATCGTTATCGTTACTGATGACGTCATCAGCGACGTCACGTGTCCCATAATGCACCGCGCGGTTACGCCGATTTATACAGAGAACGTTTTTCTTTGTCGTTGACGGGTTAAAAGTTCAGGGGATCTCCTTCCACCCCTTTCCACCTTAGCGAAGCAAACGCTGGAGAGGAGGTCACCTCCACACCCGCGTTTATCCTGTAAAAGTGGAAAGGGGTAGAAGGAGTTCCTTTGAGCTCGGAACCTATCACTGTCTCTTGACGCTAAAGGTGCTGCCTGCATTTTTTTTTTCTCAGTTTGGATTTTATTATGGAAGTGAAACTGAAAGTAACTTGAAAGTAAACATCTTCGACAGAAATCTGTCTGGTTTGGGGAACAATTCGAAAAAAAGAAAACTCAAACCAAAAGTTTAGAAACAACAGTTCCCAACGTTTCGGGGTCGACTTGACTCCTTCTTCAGGGGTGACTAAAAATGGTGACTAAAAACACCGGGGAACATTAACGGGTCCCTCGGGGCCTTACCATCTATTTACGTCCATGGCCTGCGTCACGTTCACAAAACATCACCTCGGTAGAAGAGGAAGGAGAGGTCGAAGCTCGCGCTGTCCCATTCCATTTTCAGTCACCCCTGAAGGAGTCAAGTCGACCCCGAAACGTTGGGAACTGTTGTTTCTAAACTTTCGGTTTGAGTTTTCTTTTTTTCAAACTGAAAGTAGTTCTTGGTTTTATGCAAATATCGTGAGCAGGTTCCTTTTTTTCGGAGTTTAGTTTTAACGAAATTTGGAGAACAGTCTTCAGAGCTTATTTTTATAACACACTGGCCGTTTATTGAATTCTACTTGTACTCGTCACAACAAGTCAAAACTTTGTTTTTCTCTCTGTATTTAGTAGCTTCTCTTCAATTCCCAGCTCTCGCAATATCGCAATTATCGGGTTTTACTTCAGTTAAAAACCAACACTCGAAATTTTGCGTTCATCGGTGTGGACTTTGTATTTGTTCCATATACCCCAATTATTTTATAAAATAATTGATGACCGCACACAAACGCGTCAAAGGGAAAAGTAGAGAACACCACTTGAATCGTTCGTAATGTTTATAAAAATATTGCACTATAGGACACGAAGACATTAAAGCTACCTTATATTCTAGAGCCTGCAATTACTTAAATCATACACGGAAAGTTTTCGTCGCTGATAGGCCCTCATTTTACGTTTCGATTGAGTATAAATATAGCGATATACTCACTGACGGAGTGAAACTAGCAGGGCGTGCCTTCCAAACCCCTGGCCTCCAGCACGCGCTCCATGCCTTCCGCTGTGCTTTGGCTGCACTCGCGCAATCGAGGTGTACAAAAAGCCGAAGCATTGTCAAAGATAGGAATGTCGCGCTGGAGGCCGGGCAACTAAAGCTCCTCCCTGCAGTTCTCACCTGGTCAGTGGCTACAGTCTCAGCTGGGAATCCGAGAGCAACTGGATGATAGAAGAAGTAGAGTCTATATTCCTAGCTTCAGATACTATGAAAACACTGCCTCCTCCTAAATCAAGAACATTTGGTTGCGCTCTACGTATTTTCTGTTGACTTATGCCGTAAACCAGAAGTACGAAAACATTGACGCGTTTTCATAAAATGGAATTGTTGATTAACCTTATCGTCGATCATCTATATTTAGAAAGGAAACTAGAGTTCCAACCCTTAGTGCCGCTATACCCGGCGTTTGACGAGAATAAGGTAAAGTACCCCTACTTTGTTTTTTTATAATTTGTTTGATTTGGCAACTTCTAGAATCACACTAAATGACAAGCCTACCAGCAAGTGTTTTTCATGCTTTTATATTTTTTATTAGAAAACAAACGTAGCCATAGTCCCGACCTAACTTAATGGCTTAATATTCAAGTCATATATGAACTCTTGTTTTTATGAGGGTATAATTACAATCGAGAAAGTGCTCCAACAAAGGAACATATGTATTTTATCCCATTGTCTTTTAAGGACAACGCACTCATAAAACTATTTGAACACAAACATATACTTCGACCTGAGCCTCGGCTGCTCGAAATCTGTGAATAAAAATGTACGCGAACGTAGAAAACTGCATTCACAGATTCCATTAAACGCTTGTCGCTGTAATGTTCATTCCAAAATATTATAGCACTGCGATCTGATAGACGGAAAACCTAGAGCGTTATAAAATTCAACTTTTAAAATTGCAGTACTGAAGGCGTCCGCGACGCGAAATGGGTTCAGCGGACAAAATAGTCCACCAACTCTCTTCATTTGGTTGGATATTGGGCTGTGAATCACCTAGATGCGGAAGCTTACAGCTCAAAAAAAAAAAAACAATTTTTTACTCAAACTTGTTTTTCGTTAGGGCTACATCTTGGCCAAAATGCCAAGATGACCAAGACATTAGGTTGGCAGTTTGTTTTAAAAGCTTCCTCTAAAAACAGATGGCTTCAACTTCATACAAAATTAGGTTACTTCAAACATGCGTTATCGTAATGCCAACATATATGGTATAGGTAGTTGGGTAATTCATATAATGTCACGTACATATATTCTGCCAGTTGTCTTCGCGAATTCAGCCAAATTCATATACCAGAGGTTGCCACCTACTTAGGTAGTCACACCGGAGACAAAAATTATCGCACTGGTTTTTGCGAAACATATATTCATTATAAGAGCTGCAACTTTTCCTAAATGAAGCAAGCAACTAATTGGGACCAACTTATTTTTTTCACAACCGGGTATAGAGCAGTATTATTGAAGCATGTTATGTAACTTTTTTTAAACATGCACCTTCCCATTTTAGGAGCACGCGACATTACGAGGCCCGCAGGTCTATCATACGAAATAGACGCGAATAAATGTTGTACCATCTTAGGGACTTGTATTTATACTACGCCAATGCGGTTGATTCTTAGAGTGTTTGTTTGTGTTTTTGTTTTATACAGACATTGACATATATTTTGCTTGTTTGGGATTTTTGCTGAATTGTTGTACTGTATTCGTAAAGGCAAACATGACATTGCCTGCCTTTGTCTGCTGATAAAGTTTTCTCATTGAACAGGTATACACGTCTCTCACATTCGCTACAGAAATCAGTATTATGATATCACGTGTAGTACTCAAAAATTATGCACTCACGTTTTCTAATACACATTCCATTTTGGCACGTCCCAACTTCAGCGACTTTTTCACGTAATCCAAAAAACTCGGAAGTTTTTTTGTACTGAAAAAGAAAAGACACTTGTAGGGGCAAAAAAACAGGGAGGGCAGGGATTGTATGGAACAGCTTTTAAGCTAAACAATATTATCTGTTGTTTTTTTTTACCGATAATGACGCCACCATACTGGGCAAAGGTTTTGGCAAACGCTCCGGAGCAACACCAAAATAATGAACGCAAAGTGACTTCGGGCACGATTAAACGAATAGGTAAATGCAAACTTTTTAACCTATATGTCACAGAATTATATCGATCATGTTCCCAATATAAATCTTTCTCACAATGCACATTTAAAATGTATTCCATGCTTGCAGTATGTTGATTCAATGAGGAAAACCAGAGCTACTGATGAAAAATTAGGCATCTCTCAGATGTCGTACAAATATTTTCTCAGATTCTCATTTTTCAGGCTGATAGCCAGTGACAAGTCTGCACTATCATTATTCTCATTGCTTAAATATTTTATGGTCTCTCAGGAGATCTCAAGCGGGCGCGTTTTTAGGCATATTGTTCTCTTTCTTTTTTGCGCATCTTTTGTTCCATAATGCCCGGAAGTCTTACCTGCATGCATAGATACAATTTCCGTCATCTACAAGCGAGCCTGGAATACTTAGACGTTTATGCAACGAAAATATCGTAAGGGTGCAGACGAGCTGGTGAATATTAACCATGTTGGATTAACCTAAGACTAGGGTAGAGAGGAAAAATCAAAACGCAGAAGAGACCAAAAATAGACAGGACGACACCTCCTGTCAATTTTTTGTTTCTTCTACGTTTTGATGGTTCCTCTCTAGCCCATTCTCAGGTTAATCCAACATGGTTTACGCAACGCTTTCATCAGGGAGACAGAAGGTCGAGTCTCATACCAAATTACTCAGGAGGAGAGGAGCCCGGCGTTTGATAAATAAAACACGCAGTCAGGCAAGCTAAATTGTTCGTGGAAATAACCATCACATAGTTCCGGATTCGGAAACTTTAGTAAATATTACTTCCTTAAAAAATTCAAAAACTTGATCGACCTTCGTACAAAAATAGTATTACATATTTATGATCTGAATTCACTTGTTTCCCAGTTTAAAAATGTGTACCGGATACTAATGTTGTAGCATTTTATTTCGATGTTCATGTGGTTCTTGTTTTCACAAGAAAATTCGCTAAAGGTAGAGCAGTTGGTCTTGTCATTATCTCATGGTCTCTAGAAATAAAAGCTGCAAATATAACTCCATTTAAGCAAATATATTGAGTAGATTACGCGTCTTAAAAGACTAGTAACACTTGATTTAAACGTAAAACTAAGTTGTTGTTGTTTTAATTGTAGTGGGGCAAAAATATAGCTTTTTTTTAAATTAAAGATATTATTTTTTTATATACTTGACTGTGACCTTGCCATCGACCATCGAAACTTGTAAAGATGTACACATATGAGAAAATAAATAGATGAATAAATAAATGCTGCTAAACCTTTCAACTTAAAATTTTAGAGTTCGCAAGCCCCACCTAGCTAGGATTTTAAAGTACGACAAATATACTCTATTTTAGCATAAGTCAGCGCGCAGTCAAATGCTGAATGGCGTACAAACGCCAACACATTTATTAAAACACAAAGGAACAGCACATTTACTGCGCATGATTAGTTTATTCGGTGACCGCAGAGGCACGGGAAAGTTATTAACGCTGGGACGTTGCCTTTTGCCGCTGCTTGATTGACGTCATTAGCCCGTAGGCTTGGTTATGCTCTAACTTAGAGTGACAGGTGACGCCGCTTGTAATGTTCCACGTCAGGAATAATAAAAATAATTACTCTTCCCTGAACTTAGCTTGACATTCAAATAATGTTTACTTCTCACGCTTACAAAGAAGCTAGACTTCTACAGCTATCTCTAATATTTGCCCTAAACTATTCACTTTTTACCTACACTTCCCTCTCCCCAACGACGGTGACACATCGCCGCACAGGCGCATAATGAACGACGTTTTCGCCTTTCTTACACGCTATCTCGCTCTCTCTCTCTCTGTCTTGTTCCCTTTAGTTCTTTCCCCCATTTCGATATCCGTTTTTTTTTTTTATTTTTTTTTTTTATTTGCTGTCCTTCCAACCCGGTGCATTTGCTAAATGTTACCCTTAACAATAAAAGGAGGGCGAGCAGCGCAATCTAACATGCGATCACAGTTTCGCTTGGCAGCGCTTTTATGATGATTGCCAATAATGTTGCTTTGTCCAATTGATCTGTGCTCCCTCGTCTGTGTCAAGTAAAATCACCGAGAGCAGATGTTTAATGTATCGCGCATTGCGAAGACTTTCCTATATTGTTCAGTACGCCTGCGCTCTGCAGCATCGTAAGAAAGATGGACAGAGGTGATTAATGCACGAGTATCTGGCCGACAGCTTTGCACCACCTGGACGCTTAAATGGTACCGTAATAAATGTTTATCTTCTAAACCAATCACAAGTATTCGTAATTAGCACGATATATCAGTATGCAGTAACATCCGTTTGATATTTTACCAGTTTATTTTAGTTACTACGCAACCCCCAAATTTTGAGTCCAGGTTGAGTTAACCATTTCAAAATTCATTGGCCCCTGTTGCAAGGCGGTAATCGCAGGCGAACGTCAAGGGGACGCTGTTGAGCAACCCACACAATGGAAAAGTACTCACCACACACTTCTCCCCGTTTTCCAGGTTTATATCTTCAGGCCATCTATTGATATAGCAAGTTTTTTTGCACTCTACTGCTATTTCCTAGAAAACACGAGAAAACGCATCGCAAGATTTGATTGTTTACAATCGACAAGGATTAAAGCAAAATAATATTTATAATTTTTATTGTGTTGATTTTTCTGCTTTGTATTGTTCATTTCTGTCAACGTGATTGTTTGGCGTATTTTTATAGTTTTGCTTCGTGCACATCATTAGAGTGTTAGGTCATACGTCGCAGATATGCACGACGTCTACGAAGAAACAATGTCAAAAATCAAGCGGCCATACGGACGTTTAGTAGATCGTTCTGATACTTCCGATAAGTACCCGATAATCCGCTGACGTCTTTTCGCATGCATCGTATCTTTATCGGGTATTGCTATCGCAGCTATCAAGGCACCTACTAAAACTCTCTAATAAGGGAAGTCGATAAACGTAAACAACTCAAATTTAAACCAAACAAAACATGAAAAATACATATTTAGTGAAAATGAGAAGCTGGGGCCTCCATGGTGATGCTCGTATTCCTATTCAATACAACCGGAAAACATATTTATGATATAAATATAAATAAAGACACTGACACACACCAATATTGTCGTGTATTGTTCTTCATTTTGCAAAGGATTTAGACGAAGTTATGCCCCCACGATTTATAATATAATTATGATAACATAACCGAAACATTTCGTTTGTTACACTCCGTCCGCTTGATAGCGAGCGGTCACGATACGACTTTTTAAGCTCAGCACGACAGAATAGACGCAGGCACATTTACAGTACTCGCTCAGTGCAACAGTTATCATATAATGCTAACTTCATAATTTCAACTCCTCTGCAGAAAGGTACGAGAGGAGAACATCAGCCTATGTACCCTCACTATCAAGGATGAGCAACAGCGGATGAAACAAATGCCAAGTGCAGGTAACCAACATGGAACGACGCCCCCAAAATGTCCACAAGGACAACCTAGTCTACACCACCTAGAATACTCGAGGCCTGCGAACAGTCTCCTCTACCTCCATGTGACGTCATCACGCTGGTATGGCGCCAAGTTAAAAAAGTACGCTAGAATTACGTCCCGTGAAAATAGTGTAGCAGTCAACGGCGAACATAGCGTGCCCATCAGTCAGTCATCAGACACGAAGCACGCTATCCCGAAGTACTGTATGTTGCAAGTATTAGTGATTTTTGTTCAGAGCTGCGATGCAAATATCGTACACTAGTTTCACCTTTTACCCAACCCGAGAAAACAGGTGGCCACCGATTTTTCAATGTTTAAATGCGTCATGGTATCCAGAAAATATATTAACAGCAGCTGCGCGTGAACTCGAGTATAACGTTTTCCGCGGCCCTGTCAAAATAATACAACACAAGTTATCGGGAAACATATTCGTGTCGCTCAGCAACAACCTTCGCTGACTCGTTTTTTTTTCGACAATTAAAGTTAACGTTTTGGCACACCGCCAGAAGGGGGAGGAGGGGAGGAGGTTCTAAAACGTGTTTGACGTTCAAATATAGAAAATCCAGTGTTCACTTTCTCAGCATGTGACTAACCACACAAGCACACACGTCATCACACGTATCCTTCCGTCGAAACGTCTCAAAGCGCGTTCACTGCTGCGTTGGTTCGTTTCGCGCGACCATTTTCTTGCCTGCTGCTGCTGCTGACCGCGCTGCCTGAATTTCGACTTGACATCTGGTGACGCATGACTGGGGATATACGAGGCATGATCTTAGCCCCCAATATTCGTGTCCGCCAGGGTGTTGACTGCGTTTGCATCAGCGCTTCTACAACGCATCAAATTTAGTGCCACTAAAATTATAAGCCACGCTTCGAGGTAGCCTCACTTGAGACATCTCGGTGGTTATATTCATTGTGCACTTACCTGAGGATTTATCTGAAATCGCAGGAAACGGTATATTGTCTCCTACCTAGAAATAATAAAGCAGTCCGCGATGGAGCAAAACGATATCCCCTGAGCATCCCGACACCATATCGAAAGCTCAGAAAGTTGCGGTTTGATTTCGAATAGTAATGATCGCTAATTCCACTCGCTCAGCAATAAGCACTAACGCTGAGCCAATACTCTAATACCCTTGTTACACAGGCACACTTTACTGCAGTTACGCTAAGCCACAGATAGAGCACAATACTTGCAGACAACATTCTGCGGCTATGTGGTCAAAGCTATGGACGAAGGTGCGCTGGAGCGTCTTGAGCACCCATCAAAGCAGTGCACGCGCGCTCTTCACTTCTGAAGTATCTGTCCGAAGGAATATATACGGCGGTAACTGTGGTACCGCGTAACAGCAGTCAAAGCTGAGTTAACCGCAGTTAAGGGTGCCCGTGTCTCTCTCCCGTAGCGCTGTCTGCTCAGCGGCCTTGAGTGCTGCTGGGTCTTATTTCTCTAAGGGGCACGGGAATGGGCCACGCCGGCCGAGGTAACAAGGGGGTGACGAAAGAAGGCCTCGTGCCTTCTTTCGTCACCGTGTGTATTCCCTAGTGCCTGGGACCCACCTCACATACACACGACGTGTGTATTCCCTAGTGCCTGGGACCCACCTCACTTGTACTTTGCCTTGTCTGTTCATGACTTTAGCCTTGATGGTCTTGAACATTTCGCTGCAGGTGGATGGGTTTCTGCACCACTTGATTGCGGTTATTGAGTCTTTGTAAATGAGGCAGTCCTTTTGCGGATCGGCGTTGTCCATGGCCATAAGGATAGCCGTGAGTTCTGCTTCTCTGGGGGCGATAATATCCTTGAGTTTCTAGACTACCGGGTTCCCGTTGGTGGTGTTGACCGTCGCTAGACCAGTGCTTCCTGGTGTTATTGCGGCGTCGGTGTAATAGATATACTTGCTGGAGTCTTCCTCCTAGTTCCCTTCTCTGAGGTGGCTTCTTGCACTAGTGTCCCTGAGTTTAGTATGTTGTTTTCCCGTGTTTTGCGGAATCGGTCTCAAGTTTGTGATGCGTATGTCTTCCCAGGGTGGGGCTGCGGTTTTATAAGCTGGTGGGGGAGGGGGGGACGTAGAGATTGTATCTCAACTTTTTTAGGATCTTCTTTCCTCATGGCATTTCATACATGCGAAGGATTAGGCTAGGCCTGTCCTCTGCAGCTATTTTCTTGAGTTTGTTAAAGCCAGATATTACTTCTAGATCCTCCAACTTGGTACACTTCAGGAGCTCGGTTATGAGCCGCCATGCGCTGTTGTTGAGCCGTTCAAGCCCTTCTTTTTCTGCGCGAGAAAGTTGAAGGTAATTCCAGCCATACATAGATTTGAACATCAGTAGCGCCCCTACAAGTTTTCGCAGCACTTGCACCTTGTCGCCTCGCCTACCCCCCCCCCCCCCCCCCCTCCGGGACTTGTTTGTGACCATTCTAATGGTGTTGATGGTGCTCTTCCAATATTTCCTTGTTTCCTCGTACCACTTTATGGCTCTGCCATCTTCTTGGAAAACCACGCCGAGACGTTTGACTTCCGGCGTCCTCTGTATAGTTTTCTCTGCTACCTGTAGTAACATGGTGTCGCACTTTTCTCTTCTCTTATATTGGCAATCATAGTGTAATTTGTTTATTTCCGCATACGTCTTCATGTTGACGACTTGCAAAAAATTGTGGATTCTGTCCAGTCTGTTCTGCAGGGCTTGTTCTTGTTTTCCCACCGTGTGTTTCACTGACCACAATGAGATGTCGTCCGCGTAGATGGTGTAACCGAGGTCCTTCTGCTTGTCTGGTTCAAAGGCGAGGTCGGCCACCACCATATTAAAGAGTGTCGGTAATATTGCTGCCCCCTGCGGCACTCCTCTGCTAAGGCTATGGTCAGGCTTCGTCTCGCGCCCTCTGTGGTTTCCTTTTGGATCGAGAAGGTTCGGTAGTTCAAGAAGGATCTGATAAAGTGGCGACATCTTCCTCAGAGGTCTTTGTTGCTGGCGCCCCAAATTACGACCCAGTGGGGAGTGGGATCGAAGGCCTTCTTGACGTGGATTGCTACGACTGTTTTTGGAGTGGTGAAGTGTTGTGCGGACAGCATATCCCTGTGGATGAGAGTGAGGCTGTCCATAGTGCTAAGGCCAGGACGAAAGCCAGTCTGGAACAGAGACAACGTGGGCGACTTGTTTTCTCCCTGGTACTCCGGCTGCCAGCTGACTCCGACCAACATCATCCGTTCTATGATTTTGCATATGTTAGGTGTTAGTGACATTGGCCTGAGATTTTTAAGCGAATCTAATAGCTTGCCGAGCTTCGGTATGGGGATAACTTATGAGTTTTTTCATTCTTTTGAGATTTCCCTGGTCTTTCATGTCTGGGTGAAGGCCTGTAACAGTTGCTCTTTGCCTTTCAATGGTAGGCTACGCGGGGCAGTCACAGTTATCTTATTTGGGCCCGCTGTAGTGTTTTTGGCCGGGCCTGGGGCCTGGGCTCTGACATGTCGTGGAATCCACATTGATCTTACGTGTGTGGAAAACTTCGAAACGTTAGCTGTATGCTTCTTAATAATATAACTTATATGCCTATTGCTCTAAGGAAATCTGTTGCGAACGTCCGTGGCTACAGCATTCTTAGGTATGGAATTACGATACTTGTAAACTACACCGAGCTGTGGCACATTAAAGTTGATCGCATTTTGAAGGGATTATTAAAGAGCGTTGGGTACAACTCGGTGAACTTTCTGAAGGGAATGTCTTCACATCTTTATGATTGCCAAATTTATCTTCCCTTTTTGTGAAAAGTGTTATACTCCGCCACTTTTGGTCTGACGAATTTAAGCGCCCTTTCAACCCTTGTAGACGTCTTCGTCACGCTGCGCAATTTATGACCTCCCAATGCTTTATGCGCTATAAGAAAAGAGGTCGCTCATATTATCTGCCTTTTAGTTTCAACAATCTCCATGAGGACATATTCAATGCAAACACGATGAGAAACCTGGAAAACAAACGTTGACAAATATACACTGTAGTATCGCCGTATCGATTTCTTTCATATTTATGCTAGTATTGGTTGTTCCGTTACTTTTTTTACCTTTGTTTTTCTTCTCTTCTTTGGTTCTTTGCGCTGCCCGACTTGCCAGGCCTTGCTCTAGAAGCCTCACTTGGCTTGGGTAGACCGGTATCTTGTATTGTGTTTAAATTTTTGTAGAGATAAAATTATTGTTATTATTATTATTATTATTATTATTATTATTATTATTATTAATCGCTAAAGCTGCAATCTCATTGGTGCGAAACGAAAACGAAATGCTCGGGACTCGGCACACCCTGCGTTCCTTCAGCTGTGGGTGGTAAATAGCTGGCAGTTCCCGAACGCATGCGAAGCACTGTCCGACCCGTTAAAAACAAGCCCCCAACAGGTTATTCTAACGATCGCCTTCTGCACACTGCCATCTTTGTCTATGCTTGGCTTTAAAGAACCCTCTGAGCATCTGCAATAGCTCTCTTTTGGAAATATCAGACACCGCGCATACGTAAACAAAAGTTTCTGAAATCTTTTTTTTTTCTTTTGCTTGGGTGGTAAGTGTTACAAAGGTTCATACCTCGCCTTCATACATCATCCTCTCGTAATCAAAACAGGCAGGTTCTTTCTTTGTTCTCCTCGCAATGCTATCTGAAACAAAATAAAAAAAAATTTTGTTGCTTTTTAAACGTGGTCAGTAGGTTCGTTTGATGTACCCATACCTTCTACAGCGGTGCAGTAAAATATATGGTAGTGTACTTCGGGTATATGTTTGAAGGTACAACCGGAAGTACACCGACCTACACCTTTCTGCACCGGTGCAAGTAAATCGAAAGAGCCTACCATAGGCCATTTCAATAATCTCCTTCTGCACGCTGCTGGCTTTGTCTGCTAGGCTGTGGAACTCGTTCTGAGCATGTGAAGGGGCTCTGCTCTGCATAATATCAGACGCCATGCATGGGTCCTAGGCCCAGTGACTCGACATTTAATTTTCCTATATCATAAGCACTAGGAGTATGTATAGCTTCTATACATGTTGTCACATACAAAAAAGGACGCTTTACGCATTATTAATGCGCTGCGCGAAGTAGTTTTCGCAAGATTTCGTTGTCGAAGATAGAAGTGATGAATTTGGCTTTTGTAACGTGTACGTCTTTACAAAATAACATAAAGATCATCTACGGCGCACCTGCATCCGCATATCTTAGTTCAACACGGAAGGGGGATATTAGCAGCGTTGCGCGAGAAGCAGGACTTTTTTACTACGGTCCTTAAGGTAAATACGATTATATTTTGTTCATCCAAATCCCTTCAACAATGGACGATTGCACAATAAACCAAGGTCACCTTTACGTTGAAAAAAAAAAAGCTAGAGTGGCAGAAAGCAAAAAGGATTAACGAGATAAGCTCTATCTCTTAACTAAGCAAACACAATCAGTACGCAATAACAAACGAAGTCTGATTTCTCTTTAAAGGGCAAAAACAAAAATGTGCCTAGATCCAACCACCATACATGCATAACGAAACGCTGTGCATATGATCCAGCACCGTGCTGGCTGCTCCTCAGTCTTATATACCCCACAATACAAATGCACTAATTTAGCCAAGGACCATCTCCACAGTTGATAAGTTTCCCCGTTCTGTTTTTATTTATAAAAATATTTCACCTCACATTTAGTTCCGCGATGTTTATAAACTGTATCTCTTAGTGAAAAAAGAAAAAAGCCGTTTCACGCGGACTCTAAAGCACTCTTTCACCCTAGTAGCAGAGTGGAGAACGTTCTGAGCACCCAGAGACTCCGTACCTACTAAATATATCTTGTTGTTCTTTTTATTTTATATACTGGGTGGCATTTTTTATTTGACACATATTTTAAACAAGCGTCTTTACTGCATCATGAATACCATCTTTACTATATATTTCTTGAGCTCGGCGGACATTTAAGGGTCAGAACCCACCACAGACTGGTGAGTAAATAACTGATATTTGTTAATTAACGTTTTAAATAGCGAAAACAGACATATGGTTCCAATTAAAAATTTGCTGAGCGTCATTTAGAGCCACTAAATCTTTTCAGAAATACTTTGAGCGCGTGAGAAGCGCCGTAGTGCGCTAAAGTTACCCCTCGTGCAGCGGGTACAAAGCTTGGGCTATTATAACAGAAGGAACTATCGCGCGGGCGCCTTATCGCGCCGGTAGCCTTGCTCCGGGTGCACGAGCTGTAACTCTAGAGCACCACTGCGCTCAAATAGTTTAATAAAATTTCTAAATTAGTGGTTTTAAATGATGCTCACCAAGTTTTTGATTGAAACATTGCGCCTATTTTCAATAATTAAAAAGTTAATTAACGAATTTTAGTTAATTTCTCACCAAACGGTGGCGGTTGGCCGCCCCTCAAATGTCCGCCGAGATCAAGAAACATATGGTGGAGACGGCATTCACGTATCAGTAAAGACTCCTTCTTAAAAATTTGTTTTGAATAAAAAATATCACAGGGAATATGTATACATATATCGAACGTGGATCATGATATTACCATCCGCGGTTTTGCAGCCCCAGCCTTGCACTAGTTGCACAGTTGTAACGTTAGTGCGCCACCGCATTTCTCACACGCTTCAAATCCTCCTAAGGGTTAAGATTTACTGATGAAGTGGTTTTTGACGACGTTCAGCAAGTTTCGAATTGGAACCATATGTTTATTATCCTAACTAAAATAATATCATAAGGTGTTAGCTAACTATCTTGTATGTTTTGACGATTGGCCCTCTATATTATCTTCCACTGGCCATATAACTCACCTGCACTAACTTCGATAGTGTAACTCTCGTGGCTTTTTTAGAAGCAATCTGTAAAGCCGAATTAAATTACCCCGCATATAATAAGGATGAATGCCTCCTTGCTTCAATGCAAGGCCAAGCTTTTGGTGCCTGTACGTTAGCTGACCCTGAACGCCAGTCAAACCTACACACTCGCACACCTCACCTCTTCTAAATTGTCACAAGATATATTCTCCCAGTAATATAGTAACCGAGCAATGGAAATTCAGGAGCTCAACTCCGAATCTCACCCTTCATATCGCAGTTTCTTTTTATAAGACAGCAATCGAAAGTAAGAGCACATAAATTGTCCTTGAATCAAATACGTTATAATACCGTATCTACTAGACTAAGTTGGGTCTGAAAAGACTACGTTTATAAATTTTGGTTCCCTGCGCTTTTTACGCTTAGGACTTTGAGTACGTTAGATCTTGTCAGTGTTCGGTGTAGTTTAGGCGTACTCTGAGTGAAAGGCTCCGCGATACCCACGACACATTACAAGAAAACTCCAAATCAAACGACTTACCGGGATTTCTGCAAGATCCATTAACGCATTTCCCAGTATTCTCAACAGGTATTGGAGGATCAAATTCGCCAAACTATGAAATTGTAAAAGAAAACATACGAGATAGGACGTCTATTCAGAAAAATCGGTGGGAAAGTTTATCACCATGAAAAGTTGACTGGATCTCTGTGTTGTTTATTTTGTCGAAATGAAGGGCAGATACGCAATTTCGGTTTATCTTATTTTTCTCCTACCTGCTTTTCTGTCGCAATAAGCGCCACAATGATCTACTATGCTATCTGATGGTTTCAAAAATAAAAGCTTAGATGGAAGTTATTTTATGGGAAATAAAGTTGTTTCTTTTCTTGTTTTACTTCCGGCGAGAAAGTATTTCGGTAATTTTAAATGTTTTACTTGCCGATTCACTCCACGATTTACTGCCGTAAATCGCAGTCTGATCTGTCAAGAAACCGTTTTATGCTGTTCCTTTAAAGGGTCAACACGTCATCGAGTCCTTGTTGTCGAAAGAAATTTCAGATTGGACAGAGAAATATTTGCAGAGACAATCATAAAGAGGTCCTTCTATTATAAAATGAAGTTTCTCAGATAAATTCAGAATGAAACATATACTGACTGCTTGTTTAATTAGTCCGATAAAAACTACTGGACACTCTGCAGATACAAGTTTATCATAGAGATAAACAAAATATTCTTGCAATTACCACTTACTTTTTTGCGTTGGAAATTTTGGCAATTTGCCAAGTTCACTAACATCATCTTCTTAAGGCTGTCATTGATACACTTATCCCTGGGGCCCCTCTGAAAGCAGCTGAGCACCTCTCACAAAACGATGGGGTATTGAACTTTCTTCTTAAGTTACAAGATTGCTTACTCTAGTTTTCCTGCTTAATTGTCGTGGAAGAACGTACATAAAATATTTTTAATGCTAGCCTAAGAAACTACTAAGTTTTGTGTCGAACAAATTCATAAATATAAACCGCAATAACAGGCATGTAGACCGCCAATGTACAGCTTTGTTTCTTGCACACCTAACTTGCTGGTAATTTCGATTAAGTTAATGTTTTGAACATTTTTAAGCTACCTAAGCTGCTATTAAAACACGATATGTCTTAAGTTAATTGTATTAGTATAAAAATTGACAAATAGAAAAATCTCACATTGCAGAGTCTTTCGTCAGAAATGTCTTCGGTAGTTTTTTCTTTCCAATCATTGGTTTTGTTCTTACACATTATGAAACAATATTTTTCCACTTCGAGCTTGAAAAAAAAATGCAGTTAGAAATAATCAATACCTAACGTGACATGCAAAAGGGAAAAATGCAAATTTCTTATATTCCTGAAGATCGCCAAAAAAAAGTGCCGGATTAAGGCCAACACAATTTTATACGAACAGAGCCATGTAGCACATTAAAGCGGCGATGGGAACCATCGTTGGTGCATACTTTGAAGAATTAAACAATATAGCGTAGTAATAAAAATCAACTCGACAAAATAAAACTGAAAAGAAAAATGAAAGACGTTTACAACTCCCTGTAACGCCGAGTTAGAGCGCAGCTCTTGAGGAAGAGGAGGGCAGGGTACTGAGGGGAGGGTATACCCCTGCTAACTCATCCTCCCTGCTGCCTCCTCATCCTACCTGCTACCTCCCGGCTACCCCCTCATCCTCCCTGCGACTCCTTCTCCTCGTCGTCCTCCTCCCCTCCTCCTTTTTCACCTTCCCCTCCTCCCACCATCCTTCAAGCTCCTCCTCTTCTCCTTCCTCCTCTCCCTCCCTCCTCTCCTCCTCCTCCCCTCTTTCGTTTTCTTTCTCCTCCTCCCTCCTCTCCCTCCTCCTGCTTCTCCCCCTACTCCCTCCCCTCCTCTCTCCTCCTCCCCCTCCCCATCAACCCCCTCCTCCCCGCACTCGTGATGTCACATGTGACGTCACGAGTGACGTCACGAGTGCGGCACAGCGCACCACCACGTGACGTCAGGTGACGTCACGCGCGGTGCATCATGGGACATTTCCCATAATACACCGCGCGGTTACGCCGACGGCGACGGCGACGCCGCTCAAACCGGAAATGGGCGCCTAAGAGCTGCGCTCTAAACTTACCGTCGATATGCGGTCTTAGCAAACCTTTTGTACATATTAATTCACGGCCACTCAAGTTTCCCACTTTGCTCCTACAGCCTCTGTGATTCGTTGGGAAAACCATAGCAGACGTCTTCTGCCTCAATTTGGTCCGCTCACCGCTAGAGACGCTGCTCAGCGAAAGTAAGAAACGTAACAGAGCTGATGCAGCAAACACTTGCGCGATAGAAGCGTTGATCGTGCGACAGTTACCATACCAATCGTCGCGGTCATTTTGATGTGGTGGTGCGCCATGCCGCATGATCACTTTGTCAGCGACAGTTGCAATGGTAATCGTAGCGCGATGTCCGTCTTCACGTCGCATGACTGACTCATGGGTAATATTTTCCTCAGCTACAGTAATGACCTATAGTTCATATTCTAGTATATTGCACCAGTATTAATCTCTCTCTAATCTCGCTAACCGGCTTTATTTTAATATTGGTTGCCAACCTTCTTTTGTCGGCAACCGATTTTTCAGTCATACGCTGTTATATTATAGGTACCAATGCATCTAGATCTCACGAAACCAGTGTCTTCAATCCGAGTATTACGAAAGGAAATGTTTAGACAGACTTGGTTTTGTATTTATCACCGTGCCGATATTGCATAAATAGACCGATATAACTAAGCT